TCCCCACCTACAGGAACAGCTACTGGAAGCAAAGCTCGGCACTTCGCCAACATTCAAGTGACACTGCGACAACCAAAGTGCAATCAAGATCGCCAACAAACCCGGCTTCGTCAATCACACTGTGCACATCGCCCTGCGATACCTTTGTGTCAAAGACGAAATCCACAAGGGGAAAGTGGACCGGATGTATTGTTCCACTGGCGAGATGGCAGCTCACTTCCTCACCAAACAGTTGACACGTCAAAAATACATGCACTGTGCCGAGCACTGTGGAGTCTTCAAGCGCGCCAAGCTCGAGCAACTTCAGCAGAGAAGGGGAGTGTTACAATAAAGGGAATTGATACATTCCTGTAAGTGACACTCGAGCCGTAACCGTTGTCGAGTTTGAGCCTATGATGCGAGGCACAAAGTGCAACGGTCGTTCACGGTGGAACCGACGGAAGCTCAAAGGTCCGTCACGACCGCAAGCACGCATAACTGACGCTGTAATGTTTCTACGCTTGATCATTTTAGCAATGGCTAGGAATTTTCTTAGCAAAGCAGCTGGTGTATACAATGCTATTACGGGGCGTGACCACGTCGGTCACAATGTAATCTCACACGTCATGCAGTGTTCATTTCCCCCCACCAATCAGGCATGTTCGGGCGGATTGGGGAAAGAGCTTGTGGACCATTTGATATGCAATCCAAGGGTTTCGCGGCGCTCGCGCCAAACAAAGGGTACAAGAGGATTCTAGGGGTTTTCCGATGCTCTAAACACATCACTCTAGTAGGTCACCCCTTCCCCTCCCCCCACCCTATCCGAACGTCCTAGAAATGTAGCATTGGGTTATGCACATTTTCAGATTTCAGTTTGACAGCATGTTAGCGCAGTAGCAGGAGGCAGATTGGGTGAGAGTGCAGCAGCAGGACGTGACGCAGTTTGATAGGTTGGGCCATAGCAGGTGCATGTGGCTTCACGGGCAGAGGGCAGGAATCTTGTACTTGAAGGTTTTAAGGGGGGGCAGGTTCAGGCGGGCCCTACGGTGGATCTTTGCAGCAGCATGGGCGAACGCGACAGCAGTAGGCAAGGACAGGCAGAGACATGGGAGGCAGCGGAGAGGGTGTGAGTGTAATAGCAGTAGAAGGTGACATGGGCAGCCATCATGGGAGATGGCGGGCAATCAACAGCGGCGGGAGTAGGCAGGCCTAGCGGCATGTGGGTTGAGGGTACAGTAGTGGCCCTACCGGAAATGGCGCATCAGCAGCTGCCACGGAGATGGGGGCTAATAGGTTGTTGGGAAGCTGGTTATTGGTGGGACCCACATAGGGGTGCTGGCAGGCAAGGGCGGTTGGGCCATAGTGGTTGTATACTGTGGTGTAGATGGTTTTATATATATCAAATAATTTGCTTGTTGCATTATAAGTAAATCCAATCCTGCATGCCCTAATTGTACTGAACCATGCCCTAATGGGTACTGCAGCCTGCAAAAATGGATCCATGAAAAACACCGCCAAACGTTTGCAACAAATCATGCTGAATACTAAAAATGGTCAGCATAAACTTTGCTATGCATTTACATGTTCACTGCAAAAGTTATAGAAAGAACGCCGCCATGCATTTGTAAACGAACCACGGAGATTACCGAAAAGACACCTCTAAGCATTCGTTGTCGTCAACCAAAAAGTGTTTCGGAAAATGTTGTCAAAGAATTCGCCAAGTGTTCTAATCTAATTCCGCCAGTATTTTCACCCACATGTTCGCAAAACGTTTGCAAAGCATTTGCGCGAATGCTAAGCAATCGTTTTGCGAGCACACCTTTTTTGCTATGTATCTTATGCCCCAGAAGCCCAGAAGCCCAGAAGCCGGAGACGATAACTCTTGAATGTGCTGCAGCACGTTGGGCGGGAGCATCCTGCATGAACCAAAACATTAAAGGGACAAGCGTGTTTGGCAGGAGGTAACAGAGGCATGCATGCTTGCTGCCACTCATTTCCCACGCATGCCCATGCGTGCCATGAGGTAACAGTGGCATGCATGCTTGCTCCCACTCGTTTCCCACGCATTCCCATGCGTGCCATGAGGTAGGCATGCATGCTTGCTCCCACTCGGTTCCCACGCATGCCCATGCGTGCCATGAGGTAGGCACGCATGCTTGTTGCCACTCGTTTCCCATGCATGACTATGCGTGCCATGAGGTAACAGTGGCATGCATGCTATCTGCCACTCGTTTCCCACGCAGGCCCATGCGTGCCATGAGGTAACAGAGGCATGCATGCTTGCTGCCACTCGTTTCCCACGCATGCCCATGCGTGCCATGAGGTAACAGAGGCATGCATGCTTGCTCCCACTCATTTCCCACGCATGCTCATGCGTGCCATGAGGTAACAGAGGCATCCGTTTACATTATATCTTCCTTTGAGCCCCCTTGGTTGCGCCCCTAATATTACATGGCCATTCTCCCCGGAAAGGTGGTTACTCTCCCCATTCACACCTTCACTTTTCCCATCAGAGAATAGGGGTCCGAGGTTTCGGACTTGAAACAGTGTTGCGGGGGTCACTCTATTTTGGGGTAACACGGTCGGAACTTTCTGGCGAGTGGTGGGCGATTTTGAGGCAACATCTCATTGGTGGGATGTTGACATCGAGGGCAAGATGCAGGCAAGCTGCCCGTACGTGCAAGAAGAATTCAACATGCTTTTGCATCAATGCCAACCTGCCCCTGGTCGCTCCATGCCTGCGCCTTCTCATCGAGACGATTTTGAGACCCAATCCAGGGGGCGGAGCCTGCGCGCAGTTTAGCTAACACTGTAGTTTAGCGCTTCTGAATCAGTATGAAATACATGTTGTGCTATAATGTATACATAATTCATAACTTGTCAGAATGCATTACTTTCTTGATCTTATGAAAGAATATATTATTTTTGCATTTATTTTAGATCCTAATGTTTCCATAAAACAATTTGGTCTATATCAAAATTATTGTTTGTGTTAAGGTTGTCGGAATGCTAATACATCCATCGCTAGTGCTAAAACAAATTAAAAAATCATTTTTATTACAATACAATGTATTTGTTTTGAAATACCAGTACAATGTATGAAGTTACTACCAATTAACACTATGTAGTACACTATCCATTAAATTCCAGTCCTTTCCACCTTCAAATTTCTCAGCAGGAGTGTTTCGAAAATGAAACAAGATTACAGCGGGGGAAGTTCGTGACCAATCCGGCTCATTCTGAAACGTCACCCTGCGGAACCCGTTTGCATTGTGGCAGGAGCTGGCAGCAGCTGATTGGCGCGAGTGGGCAGCGCGGAAGAAGAGCCCCCTGTGAGGAGACAGGGAGCGAGGGTCAGTCAGACCTACAGGCGCGCGATGGTCTGATTGTGTTACAAGGACAGCCAATCTCCGACTCCGCGCCACTCGAAACTTTGGAATTCTGACAGCCCTTGCATGCACCCAATCATTGAGGAATATTTCCCTCACCACGCGAACGCATAGAGTTTCGTCAAATTCGATCACCCAATCAGAAGATTTGCACCTACAACCACATTGCCAATTGTCAACCTTTGATCTGCTCAACCGATAACAGGAGGCCAAGTACGTTCCAGTGAACAGAACTCTCTCAGCCCCAATTCTCCCCTTCATTTCCTAGGACTTCTTGATTTCCCACGTAGCCAAGTTCCAGTCACATGTTCAGAACAGTCAAATTCTTCTTCTGAGATCAGTGACTACTTCGATCAGTCACAATGAGGAGATGGTAGAGCCTGAATTATAATTATATTCATCGAATAGCACCTACGGCAAACGATGATAGGAGGAAGTCAAGCGTTATCTGATTATTGGGTGTCTCCTTATTGGGAAAGGCGAACTTAGATGTTACAGGTTAGAGAATGATGGAGCCTAGAAGTTTAAAGCCCGGATCCCAAGTTACAAGCCGCGAAAAGATAGCGCGGCTTGGGTTCGAGCGAGAGGCTTGCTATTGGCTGCGAGGGTGACGAGAGCCCAAAGTCTGAGAAATTCGTTTGCGACACTCGCAGATGCAAATCGTACTTCACAAACCAAAGCTCAAACAAAGTCTGGGAAAGGAAAACAAGGGCAAGAGAGCATAACAGATGGTACAGCAGTACAGCAGTACAGAAGGTAGGCTAACGCGTCACACCACCAACCAGCCACACTCCGGCAAACGCGCTGAACGCAACAGAGAGCAACCAAAGACGCCAGGCATTTCCGTAGCCCATATTTCGCGTGTAATATTAGGACTTCTGCTAGCGTGATTTTTTTTTTCGCCAGCAACTCAGAGTAGACTCGACCGAAGGCCACACACATATCGGACTTCCAGATTTTCTGTAAAGAAAAAATCGCATGTACTAGTATCGGTGGATCGCAAAATGGCGCGCCATTCAAGATAAGGCCATGCGTTCCTCTAAGCGTAAGGAATACGAAGGATTGTTTGCAAAGTCGGCAAACTTAGGCTCTGAAATAGACGAGAGGAAGCGCCTTGAGTTAGGGCGTTATAACTGAGCGCATAATAGGGCAACAAAAAGGAGTGCGCAGGGCTATTCTGTGACGCATTCACGACCGATGGCGCAGAGGGAGACCCAAAATTGACGACCCCTGGAAAGTATGTTCTTCCAAAGTTACTTTGTGAAAGTAAGTTTCGTGGGGCAAATGGCCCTCGCGCGGCTCCGAAATGTGTTACTCGCGATTCGCTCTGTTCGGAGAGCCCCGATTTCGGTCTGGAATTTTGAGTTCAGGTTCGGCTCCAATCGGAGCGAGGAGCGTCTCAAGGCGGGCTAAATATTTGTGCTGCGAAATTTGTTCTCCGTAACAATCAGTGCACGAAACCACGCGAAGGTCTGCCGCAGAAAATCTTTGCTAGACAGGGTTCGTTGTACGTAACAATTTCACTTTTGGTACACCGCTCTTAGTTGTGAAATTCCGTCTGTCTGAGAATCGCATCGCCGTGGCGTGTCGAACCCTTCGTAAAACCGTACGGAATGGATTCTGAAAACTCAGAATGGACAGAGCGCAGTAGCAGAGAAGACGAGAGGAGGAAATGAGGAAATGGGGTAGTCCAGCAGCGAATCTGCTGCTGTAGTTCGCGAATTCGTGTCTCCGGCGGCGAATGCGCGTCTCCAGCCACGGGTCTGACGTTGCAGCACGCGAAAACGCCTCAGCAGAGGCGAAACCGCGCTTACAGCGGTGGATCTGCCACTGTAGCGCGCGGATCTGAGTCTCCAGCGGCGAATTCGTGTATGCAGTGGCGGATCTGCCGCTGCAGCGCTCGGAAACGCCTCATGAGAGGCGAACCTGCTGCTTAGCGCGCGGATCCGCGTCCCCACAGGCGGATCCGCGTCCCCAGAGGCGAATTTGCGTCTCTAGCGGTGAACATACCATTGCAGAGCGTGGAAACGCCTCAGCAGAGAGGAAACCACGGAAACAGCGGCGGATCTGCCGCTACAGCGCCCGGACCCGCGTCGACACCGGTGAAAGCGCGTCAGCAGCGGCGAATGCGCGTCAGCAGCGGCGAATGTGGGTCAGCAGCGGCGAATGCGCCTCAGCAGCGGCGAATGCGCCTCAGCAGCGGCGAATGCGCCTCAACAGCGGCGAATGCGCCTCAGCAACGGCGAACGCGCAACAGCAGCGGCGAACGCGCGTCAGCAGTGGCGAAAGAAGAGGAGAGGAGAGGGGAGGAGCGAAGAGGGGAGGAGCGAAGAGGAGAGGAGCGAGGAGGAGAGGAGCGGAGAGGGGAGGAGCGAAGAGGGGAGGAGCGAAGAGGAGAGGAGAGAAGAGGAGAGGAGCGGAGAGGGGAGGAGTGAAGAGGAGAGGAGCGAAGAGGGGAGGAGAGAAGAGGAGAGGAGCGAGGAGGAGAGGAGCGGAGAGGGGAGGAGCGAAGAGGAGAGGAGCGAAGTTGGGAAAGCGAAGAGGGGAGGAGCGAAGAGGGGAGGAGCGAAGAGGGGAGGAGCGAAGAGGGGAGGAGCGAAGAGGAGAGGAGTGAGAAGGAGAGGAGCGGAGAGGGGAGGAGCGAAGAGGAGAGGAGCGAAGAGGGGAGGAGCGAAGAGGGGAGGAGCGAAGAGGAGAGGAGGGAGGAGGAGAGGAGCGGAGAGGGGAGGAGCGAAGAGAAGAGGAGCGAAGAAGGGAGGAGCGAAGAGGAGAGGAGCGAGAAGGAGAGGAGCGTAGAGGGGAGGAGCGAAGCCGTGAGGAGTGGAGAGGGGAGGAATGAAGAGGGGAGGAGTGAAGAGGGGAGGAGTGAAGAGGGGAGGAGTGAAGAGGGGAGGAGCGGAGAGGGGAGGAGCGAAGAGGGGAGGAGTGGAGAGGAGAGGAGCGAGGAGGAGAGGAGCGGAGAGGGGAGGAGCGAAGAGGGGAGGAGCGAAGAGGGGAGGAGCGAAGAGGGGAGGAGCGAAGAGGGGAGGAGCGAAGAGGGGAGGAGCGAAGAGGAGAGGAGCGAGTAGGAGAGGAGCGGAGAGGGGAGGAGCGAAGAGGAGAGGAGCGAAGAGGGGAGGAGCGAAGAGGGGAGGAGCGGAGAGGGGAGGAGCGGAGAGGAGAGGAGCGAGGAGGAGAGGAGCGGAGAGGGGAAGAGCGAAGAAGTGAGGAGTGGAGAGGGGAGGAATGAAGAGGGGAGGAGTGAAGAGGGGAGGAGGGAAGAGGGGAGGAGTGAAGAGGGGAGGAGCGGAGAGGGGAGGAGCGAAGAGGGGAGGAGCGAAGGGGGGAGGAGCGAAGAGGGGAGGAGCAAAGAGGAGAGGAGAGAAGAGGAGAGGAGGGAATAGGAGAGGAGCGAAGAGGGGAGGAGCGACGAGGGGAGGAGCGAAGAGGGGAGGAGCGAAGAGGAGAGGAGCAAGGAGGAGAGGAGTGGAGAGGGGAGGAGCAAAGAGGAGAGGAGCGAAGAGGGGAGGAGTTAAGAGGGGAGGAGCGAAGAGGAGAGGAGCGAGGAAGAGAGGAGCGGAGACGGGAGGAGCGAAGAGGTGAGGAGTGGAGAGGGGAGGAGTGAAGAGGGTGTTGTAGTGTATTATTATATACAACATGCATGACTAGAATAAGAGGTGTAGACATTTATGTTATTGGGGGGTCGTTGGTTGGGATCACCAACCACAAATTTGTTTGGTCAAGATTGGATTTGGCCTTGGTCCTTTGGTTGGCACTTTCCAACCGAATGGTCTCAAGGCTCCACCAATCAGCAACCACCACACTTTGGTGTTGCTTCCCCTCCAAGCTACCTCTCCCATTGGCCACTCTTGTAGCCAATAGGAGTGCCTTCGTTTCCAACCATTCCTTGCTCCTTGGTTGTACTTCAGAGCCTCTTGGCTCCCTTTCTAGTTAACACTTTTTTGTCTAATGTTACTTGTCTCATGGTATTCAAAGCCACTGGCTCACGCCACCCGGTCTATCCTAACTAGCAAGGCCTAGTCCTCACTCTCCAGCCCTAACCCGCCCTCAGGCTACCCGGCTGTCCTTTCCGGCATCCCTTTCTCTCCCGCTTCCGCCTCGCGCTCCTCGCTCCGCGTGTCTCCTCGCGCGCTCCTTCCGGCGAGCCCGTCCTGTCGCGCTCCTCCAGTCGCGCACTCTTCCCGTCGCGCGCTGCTCCCGGCGCGCTCCTCCAGTCGCGCGCTCCTCCCGTCGCGCGCTGCTTCTGTCGCGCTGCTCCCGTCGTGCTGTTCCTGTCGCACGCTCCTCCCGTCGTGCTGCTCCCGTCTTGCGCTGCCCCCGGCGCGCTGCTCCCGTCGCGCTCCTAATGTCGCGCACTCCTCTCGCCGCGCGCTGCTCCTGTCGCGCACTCCTTCCGTCGCGCTGCCCCGTCGTGCGCTGCCCCTGTCGCGTTCCTCCGCAGTCCCCTTCGGCCGCGTCGCCCCACGCCGTGTCCGCCCTTGCGCTAAGTGCCTACGGCGACTTAAGAGCTGCGCTCCGCGCACCTGTTCCTTTCTCCTCCTCCCTCCTCCTCCTCTTCCCCCCCCTCCTCCCTTCTCCCCCCCTCTCCTGCTCCTCCTCCCTCCTTTCTCCCCCCCCCTCCAGCATGGCGTCCGCGGATTCTTCCGTGGATCTTGCCACCATGGATGCCCTTGAGTTGCTGTCGGACAACACTACTGTAAACTGGCATTCCTATGCCCACTCCATCGCTGTCCTCCTCTCCTCCGTCACAGCCAGCGGCTTCTATCTCAAAGCTGTTGTTTTCATGGAGGAGCGCGGCCTTCAGCCTGTTGCGCCCGTCGCTCCCGAGGGCCCTGCACCCGACCACCCTGGTGATGCTCCCGAGTCCCCTGGCAATACGCCCACCTTCGCCCCGGACGTCAGCGACCCCAGAGCTCGAAGACCGCCATCCGCACGTATCGCAGTAGCCTCACCGAGCACCTCCGCCTGCAGCTGACCTATGAGACTCAGAAGACCAAGTTTGATGTTGCATCCGCCGCCTACACTGCGCACCAGGCGGAGCTCGCTACCTACACCACCCGTCAGCAGCTGTACATCACCAACATCACCGCCTAGCGTATCGCTGATCGGCGTGCACTCGCCATCCTTCTCGCCACCATCCCCTCCTGCCTCAAGCGGGAGCTTGCTCCCACCTCTGGCAACTCCTCACCGATCTCTATGATCGGCGGGACATTGCCACCCTCTACGCCCTCATTAAGGAGTTCGGGTCCCTGACCATGGATTCCTCCACCGGCGCAGCTGCATTCACTCGTCGTGTGCTCGACCTCGCCCGCCGCCTCGCTGCTCTCGGCGTGCCGTGCCCGGATCCCGTGTTGTGCTGCCACCTCCTTGAGGGCTTGACTCCTGCCTTCGACGCCCACAAGCTCGCCTACATGCAGCTCCTCTCCAAGCACGATACCCTAGCTCAGGTCGCTCAGTGGATCATCACCACTGAGGCCGATCTCTTACGCCATTCCTCACCCTCCGCCGTAGTCGCTGACTCGCGCAGCAGCAGGGGTGGGCGCGAGGGTGGACGTGGCGGTAGTCGCAGTGGAGCTGTGGGTCGTGGTGGTTCTGGGCGTGGTGGCGCAGGCCATGGTGCAGCAGCGGCCTTCCCTCCCTGCCAGTATCTCCCTCGCTATGGCCCTACTCGGGGTCAGCGCTGCGGCCAGACCACTCATTCCACTGAGACGTGCTTCAAGGCACTCAGTGATGAGTGGTTTGCCCGTGGCAATCCCGGCACTCCTCCTCGCTGGTCCTCCCTCACTCCCCGCCCCACTCCCCAAGAGGTGCGTACCAGTCCCCTCTATCAGCCCTATTCCTCCGCCCAGGCTAACCAGGCCATCGCCTCTCCCCTCCTTCAGCAGCCGCAGCAGCAGCAGCCAGGGGAGGGGTGCAGCAGCAGGGGCAGCAGCAGCAGCTGCAGCAAGGGGTGCATCAACAGCAACAGGGGCAGCAGCATCTTCTCTCTCAGCTGCAGCAGCAGGTTCACCAGCTCCAGCAGCAGTTTCACCTCCAGTCGCAGCTGCCACTAGCTCTTCCTCCCATGGTATCTCACCAGCAGTACTTCCCCGCTTGGACTGCAGGGAGTGCTGCCTCAGCTGCGCATCTCTCCGGCGCCTCCCCCGCGCCCTCTGCTGCTGGCAGTGTGACCACCCCCTTCCCTTCTTCTGGCTTTGTTGGCATGCTTAGTCAGGCTGCCCCTCCTGCTCCTTCCATGTATTCCGCTGCTATTAATGAGAATGTGTTTCAGTACTCCGTCCCCCCACCTCCTCCCTCGCCTCTACCTCCCTCCACCCTGGAGTTCGTCCTTGACAGTGGAGCCACTGAGACAGTCCTCCGCGACGCTGGTACTCTTAATCCCCTTCCCGTTCCAACTTCCCTCCTTGGTGCTGACACCAGTTTCTCTATCCCCTGCCGGCACACCTCCACCCTCCCCTGTCCCCTCTTCCCCTCAGGCACCGTCACTGGTCTTCACATCCCTTCTCTTCGTACTAACCTCCTTTCCCAAAGATCCCTGCAGCAAGCTGGTATCACTACAGTCTTCCCAGGTCGCGCAAACCATTGCCTCCTGTATCACCCGACTGGTCGTATCCTCTCCCGCATTCCCTTTTGCCCTCGCTCACGCCTGTATACCCTCAAGGTCCCCCCCCTCCACTCAGCCCACGCAGTTTCCCGTTCCCTTCCCCCTTTTCACATCCCCCCCCCTCCCCTCCCCCCTACGAACCCAACCATCCCCCCCCTTCCCCCTGATTCTACCTGTTCCTGTCGGTCTCTCTCCCATCCCACCGTCCTCCTCCACCACAGGCTTGGTCATCCAAACTTTGCCACTCTCCGCTCCACCGTCGCCTCAGGTCTCCTTCGAGGTCTCCCTCTCACCCTTCCCCCCCTCTCTCCCTCCCCTGCTCCTCCTTGCTCCATCTGTGTCCAGAGTAAACTCAAGCAGCTCCCCCATCGGAGTTCTCCCTCCGCTGCCGCCAAGCCGCTTGACCTTGTTCACATGGACCTCTTGGGCCCCAACCCCTCCCCCTCCCGCCAGGGCCATCGCTACATGCTCGTCCTGGTCGATGATCACAGCCGGTATTCCTCCGTCTTCCTCCTCTGCTCAAAGGGCGACGCTCCGGCTGCGATCATCGCCTGGCTCGAGCAGGCTAGCACTCACTTTGGCCGCCCTGTCCGCCGCCTTCACTCCGATGGCGGTGGCGAATTCCTTAACCGCCAGGTAGCCTCCTATTGTGAGTCCCATGGCATTGCCAGACTCACACCCTTCCCCACTCCCCCCAGTAGAATGGCATGGCTGAGAGCCGTGTTCGGGAGATCACCAAGATTGCTCGGTGTCTCCCCGTTCATGCCTCCTGCCCCCCTTCTCTGTGGGGCTATGCCCTCCTTCACGCCACCCTCCTCACTAACCTGTACCCTCACCCCATCCTCCCCTCCACCACTCCCACCGAGCTCTGGGTGTCAGACAAGTCTGATGTCTCCTCCCTTCGTGTGTGGGGCTCCAAGGCGCATGTTCTCATTCACCCCTCGGATAGCCCCTGCGCAATGGGCAAGCTCGCCTCCCGCACTCTTCCCTGCATTTTCCTTGGTCATAACCCCTCCTCCCCTGACTACCTCTTCCTCCATCCTCCCTCAGGTCGTTTCCTCCGCAGTCGGGATGTGGTCTTTGATCAGTCCACACCCTACTATTCCGCCCCTCCCGCCACTGACCCCCTCACTTCCGCTCCCAGGTCCCTTACCTGGTCTGACACTGCCCCCCCCCTCTTCTCCCTCCCCCTCCCATTCTCCCCCCCGCCCCACCTCCGCCCCCCCCCTGCCTCCTCAGCCCCCAGTGCTCCTCCTTCCTCAGGTGACATCTTTGATCCTGACCCTCTCTTCCCACCTACCTCTCTTGCCTACTCCTCCTCCTCCGCCCCTTCCGCCCCTCCCCCCTCCTCCCCCCACCCCCCCCCGCCCCTTCCTCCCCTGCCTCCCGCTCGTTCCATCCTCACCAAGTATCCCCACACCAGGTCCTGTAATGCAGTCCTAGGTGCCCCCCCTCCTGTTACCCTGTCCTCCTCTACCTTGCCTCCTCTCTCCCCTCTCATGCGCCTCCTTTTCCAGGCTGTCTTGCAACAAAACACGAGTCCCACCCTGACTCCGAGCTCCAGTGTCGCAATCCTAGCAGCAGAAGCCCCATCTGCAGCCACAGTTCCTCCTCCCACATCCTCACTTGCAGCGGCAGCAGCAGCACCATCGCCAGCAGCAGTCTCTCCTCCCTCATCCTCACCCGCAGCGGCGGCAGCAGCAACAGCAGATGCAGCAGCAGTAGCGGCCTCAGCAGCGGCAGTCGTTCTCCCCTTCATCTTCCACTCCTCCCTCCTTGAGGACTCTCATGAGGAGTTCCTCAACCTCCACCTCCATGATCCCTCCCTCCTTCCCATCTCCCCTAACCTCTCCGGCACACCTGTCTTCGCCTTCGCCTCTGCCCCCGCCATCTTCGTCCCTGGCATGTACGAAGAGGGGATGGCATGCCCTGACGCCCACCTCTGGCTCGCGGCCATCCTCAAGGAGTTGGAGGCCTTTATTGCCAACTCCTCCTCTGTGGATGTGCCCCGTCCCCCCTCTACCACTAATGTGGTCAAAGGGAAGTGGGTGTTTCGGGTGAAGCAGCTGCATGGCGAGCCGCCGATCTACAAGGCCCGCTACATCGCCAAAGGCTTCACCCAGCGCTATGCCGTCGACTTCTTCGACACCTTCTCTCCCACCGCCAAGCCTGCCACTATTCGTGCAGTGCTTGATCTTGCAGCCCGCCTCAACATGGAGATCCACTCCATGGACGTCTCTAATGCCTTCCTCCAGGGCATTCTTCGCGAGCTCATCTTCATGGAGCGTCCTGCAGGCTTCCACCTCCCCTTCCCTCCTGATTCCGTC